TTTCATGTGTAAACTTTCAAAATAAACCCCCGAGCTGTGTCAAAACGTGTGCTGACCACTTGGATAATCAGGGCACTTTAGTTTGAAATGTTTCTGATGTGAGAAAGGCTAACTTTACCAGGAGGCTAGCTATGCTAACCCACTAAGCTAGCCTCGGCCAGCTTGACAGCGGCGAGGCGAAGGCATGCACACTCAGCATAACAACAGCAGCAGCAGCAGCAGCTCTGTTTGCTTTATGGGCCCACCTGACTTCAAAACGACGCCCCTCCGAAGTTGTAGCTGTTAAAGTGCTCGTCTGAAACCTAACATCCGAGGCACAGCTGAATTTCGGCTCCACTGACAGAAGCGACGGCGCTTCCAAACGCCTGCCCGTGCTCTCCTTGTTGATTCCTTTCTCTTGTACCGAAGCCAGACGTCATCGTGTTTGGTCACGTGCCTCCATTCATGAAAGATTTTCTTTGCTCGCAAGGGGGAAAAATGATAACTAAGAATACAGCATCCTTTGTTACATTGTTTCTTATACTTCCTGTTGTGACTTAGAATCAGTACTGCTGGCACTGTGAGCACTGGCACAAATAAATCACAACCACAGAATTAGTTAAATGTCTAAATTTAATAAACTATTTTGAAAATACACTCATTTGGAGTACAAAATATAGCATTTTATCAATATCTGTAGTATTGCAAAACATGATTTTGGTACACAGTACAATACAAGCTGCAATGGGATATCACCTCGAGGAAAAAAAAAACAGTTGTGAAGTGAACCTCTTTGGCATGAAACACGATCATCAGAAACAAGGTTTAGAAAGCCAGAGAAGAAACTGATAGGAGCATTTTTATTCCATGAGTCAACTAAAATACCAGGAACAGGGATATAAAAGAAAGAAAAAAAGCATTTCATGGTAACGGAAATGGAGATTTTCTTACAAAAGGAAGCTATTATCGCTTGAAATCTTTCTCTTGTTAAGTCTCACCTCATATTTTAGGTGATTTACTTACTTAGGTCAACAACTACCCGGCAGTAGTGGTTGTAGCATATAGCCAGATCATCAGTGATATGACAAGTTTGCAGTTTCTCCACCTGGCAGGTTATTTTATTTCTTTTTGGTCCTGGAGCTGCTGCTGCTGCTGCTGTTGAACATACTGATCCCACGAGATCTGACTCCAACAGCGTCTGGAGTGACTCCCGGTTGCTGCAGCACTTGGTCCAGAGTTGTCTTCTTTATGGCAGCAGGGGAAATCTTCTCCTGGTCAGCCAAATACTGAAGTTCCCTTTTTTGAAATATAAAAAAAGCAGAAACAAAAGAAGATAAACATACAAGTTAGAATGGATAATACATATTAATCACAGCATAATATATCAGTGTAGTAATAACTTCAACACTAGGTGATATGTAACCAGAGAAGCCACAATTTAAAATTATTTGTACATACATAGCTCCATCTGCTGTCTGAATAATAAACTTTTAAAAAAAATTGTCACCCTTTGAGCAATTGAGTGAATTGCTTTTCTTCTGTGTCTTATGACAGGAACGACAAAAATGTTTCTCTGTTTGTTGAACACCTCTCTCGCCAACCTACCTCGTCCTAACGCAAGAAGCCTCCACAGCATTGATGAGCAGGCTGCGGAAGCCACCACTCTCCATAACATGTAGGGCGTGGATCGTGGCGCCCCCTGGTGAACACACATTGTCCTTGAGCTGCCCAGGGTGCTGCTCCGAGTCTAACAGCATCCGAGCAGCCCCCTTTGAAGAAACACAAAGGAAGCGCCACTGATTGATCGCATAAAATACGCCACGTGATAATGAACATTCAGACTGTGTCAATGTGCACAATGGGACAGGACAAGCTGCAGGTCACACATAATTGAACAGTATTCTTTTAAACTCAACTCATAGGCACTAGGGGTATTCAGAAACACAGCAACATCAAACCAGGATCAAAACCTAAAAAAAAAAAAAAGTATATACTGCATCTATAACGGACATACCAGCAGTGCTTGGGCTCCGAGGCGTACAGCCAATCTCCTGTTCAGGCCCATTTTCACACCACCATCAGCAAGCGCATCTACAGCAGTGAAAGCCTGCAAGGTCACAATCATCAACGTTACTATGATGGAAAGAGGGCAACAAGCCGGAGGGCACGTTTTTCACAAATGCTGCAGCTATGGCAGATTTGCAAAACACACTGATAGGTAGAACGGACTCACATAAGCAGGGCCGCTGCCGCTTAGGCCAGTGACTGCATCAATCAGGTCCTCTTCCACCTCGGTGCAGTAGCCGACACTGGCCATCAGCTGCTCCAGGAGCTTTCCATCCTCCACATCTGCATAGCTTCCTGTAGCATAGACAGTGGCCCCTTCACGGACTACCACTGGAGTGTTGGTCATGCAACGTATGACCTTTGGAGAAGTGCGATACTGCTGCAGCTTCTACAAAAAGGAGCAATGCTCTAATTTAGTGACTTCATTTGAAGGGATGATGAATGAAAGTACTTATAATGGATGGATACAGCAAGCAAAAACAGATTAGATGTATGTATAGGCGATGTGAGCACTGAAAAATATGAATCAATAGCGTTTATAAGACTTTAAGTTATGCGTCTGGATCCATCTGGCTTATGATTTGCATTACCGTAATGTTTTAAAAGTAGTACTATAATTAAGTGATCTAGTGTTCATACAAGCAGGGTACACACCAACTCCTACGATGCACCATACCATGTCACTACAAATACTAGTAGATAATTACTATATTTACACCAATTGACTTATAAAAACTAGTGTAACAAGCAGCTTGAATAGGAAGGGGGGGCTTAAATGTGTTTAGTTTGTAAGTTTCCCACCATAAAACACACAACATGTAAACACGACGGGCTATGACTTGCCTTCTCTATGGAACTGATTCGGACCCCTGCAGCACAGGACACAATAAGGTGACGGTCTTCGATATCTGGTCCAATCTCATCGAGGACAAAAGGAATGATGTGGGGCTTCACAGCCAGGAAGAGAACATCAGTCCTGCTCACTGTCTCCTTGTTGCTGGTAGTGAAATTTACACCCAATTTCTGTACAAATTGACTTCTTTTAGTAGTTCTTCAGACAGGTAAAATACATATTCATAATTACACAGAGTCACTAATATAACAGACTACGCACCCGTAGTTGCTGCACTGTGGGGAGATCTGTGTCTGGAGAACTGGCTGTGATTTTGTGCGTGGCAATCACGCCTTGAAGAGGGGAAAAAATAACCAGAAATCATTTCGGTGCCTGATTGCAATCTACATACATCAAGAATACAAATGAAATGAAATTAATGCACATATGGTTAAAGGTATGTTTCGAAATTCACCTGCTGCCGTGAAGCCTCTCACCAGAGCGTGGGCCAGCTGGCCCGCTCCTATGAAACCCACGCTCATTCTGCCTGTAGGTATACACAATTTAAAACATTAAATTTAACGTTGTGTCTTACAAGTGACAGATGAACCAAGAAAGGATGAGCCGTGTGCCCTTTTTACAGCTCCGACACGTAGCGCAAACATAATCTTACTTCCGTATTATTCACTGAGGGAGGGCAAGGCGAATCCTGGACACATAATGGCAGCAGCCATAACGCTAACATTCATTACATTTATGAACAAACGGAAGAATCTTTAAGCTGACAGACAGACAGACCAATACCAGCTCTTCATAAATACCTGAAATTACAACTCTGTCAACGTGTCCCAGGTGATTATTAGCGCTGTAGCTTCTGCAACAGCGACCAGAAACGAATTTGATTGACGAGGCTTGCGAGCCAGTGAGCTTTCACCCTTAGCTTACGCGTGACAATTTCAACCAATCGCAGTGGCAGCAGCGTAAACTTTGAGGCGGGGTTTAAATTGCACCAGGCTGTGCTGCTGAGAGGAAAAGCTGGTTAGGAGACGCAGTCGCTTTACTGGCATCTACCGGCGAAAAGCTTGGAAAGACATGTCGAGATGGAGGCGCTCAGACATAACATACATATTCTGAGCAGATAAAGTGCAACATAGTTAACAGACTGATGTAAGTAACTCCGAGTTAGGCGTTTTTTCTCTTAAGTTTCTTCATTATCCTGTCGGTAAACCTGTTTATATTTGTTAGCTATTCAACAGTAGCAGGTAGTTACTGTGCTTATTGTGGTTGTAATGATTAAAGTTGTGCCATACAGACAGGTCATAGCTTTTTGTCGAATTAAAGTGACTTACTGGCAGCCATTAGCAAGTGTTTTCTGTATTAACATGGTGAAATAACAGTAAAACTACCTCATTTTAAGCATATAGTATAACAGGGTACAGCATATTTGAGTTATTTTGCAACATGGTATATTAACATACAACAAAATAATGTTCACTTTTACCTTATATATATATATATATGTGTGTGTGTGTGTGTGTGTGTGTGTGTGTGTGTGTGTGTGTGTGTATGGGTTATCAGCATGTATTTTCTGTATTAACGTGGTTAAACTAGCAGATTTTTAGCAGTAAAGTAAATCAGTAAAACAAAAAGCAACATTATAATGCTTTTTTTAAGTTAAACATTCTAAACTACATTATACTTTAAAACCTACATTATTAGGCATTAATGTTTATAAACATTTTTATTTAACTCAACAGCTTCTCTAAAATTGTAGACTACATGTAGGCTAAACAAACTAGCATATGCTGCTTGATCTTTTCTCTTTCTTTCGGCATTTTATGAACAATCAACACATTGGAAAACCTTTATTTTTTAAAAAGAGAAAAAAAGTTACGTATTGGCGAATCCCAGTCTATGCTAAATTACCAAGTATAAAGAAAAAACATGAAATTGTCCAAATAGTTTCACTGGTAGCAGCAAATTACCCTAGAACATGAAAAACACTGTGTGTTTAAGTCCTACTTTATGCAAAGAAGTGAAAGAAGGCCAAATGAAAACATAGACATTTTATTAAACACAGAACAGAGTACAAACATGGGAAAAAGAATGTTAACACTCGTGCTTGTGGTCAACATGTAATGTATCAACAAAATAACAAATCTAATACTGCTGCCAAACATTTGCCTTCAAAAAAAATTGACATTCAGTAAATAAAAAAAAAAACCTTATAAACTTCAACATATGTGGGGAATATAATCTAAACTGGAAAAAAAATACAGCGAAGTGGCTAGAAAGCCAAAACCATATTCTATGTTCAGTGCAAACTGTTGACCTAACAGATACTAAACATATCTATATATTTCCACCCTGTTTATTGTTATATAAATAGTATTAAATAAATTGCCAAGCCTCTGAAAGGTTGAATGACATAACACTGGTCTGATACTTCTTTAGGTCCCAGATAAGATGGATGCCTGTATTAGAGAGATGGATATATTTCCCAGAGTCGTCTGTGGACAGAGTTGCTGAGATTGTCTCCATGGTGCATGTTCTCTACAGTAGGAAGAAGTTCAGGACTAGATGAATACTGTAACATAAAAACTAGATAATACTGCTAATTTAAAAAAAGTGTTATACTCTGGCTACATAACACTGTGAAATGGTGGATTTAAGCCATTGAGTCTTTCACATAGACCTGGATATGGAGAACAAACTGGATATGTCCTTGAACTTGGGTGTTGGTGGTGGTTTCAGACAGCAGAACTAGAGATAAAGCGAATCCTCTGGGAGTAAACAAGATCTACAAAATACAACACTAAGTTGACGTTAGTAAAGACGGCCACAACCAACTTGCTATCCCACGGACATTCTCCTCGTGGGCAGTCCTCGGGACGAGTAGTGTTGCCATACTTCCTGTCGAAGCTGAAGATGGGCCAGATCAGCGTAGTACTGAGATAGAGGATCACAGCAAAGAAGGTGTAGATGACCACAAACCGATCAAATGGGAACCGCAGGGCAGAGGTCCTACCAGAAACCGTCAGTACGACCACTATCACAGTGACAGAGAAGCACAGGCTGTACACCACCACACAGTACTGGGTGGCAATGTATTGGTTGTACTCACTGTCATTAGCCAGGGCCCCAAAAATGATGCAGGCCACAAAACCTTGGACCACCTTGAGCAGACCAGACACAGTGGCCATGTATCCAACCACAGCCCCTGGTTTGGCTCGTGTTAAGAACACCTCAGTTGCGTAGGGGAAGCAACAGACTGCAGAGCAGACTGTAACAGCAATTCGGTATATTTGGACTTCCCACTCCTCATCGGGAACCTCTGTCTGGAGGAAGTAAACGGGGTAGACCACAGAGGCAGTGATGTACATGAGTGTTGCCAGCATGGCAAAGGCCACAGTGAAGTTATCCCAGGAAATCGGCATACAAGTGTGGAGCCGGGTAATGTCCAAGGTGAAAACAACCAGTGTGACAGCAAAGCAGAAGCACCACACAAACATACAGAAGATTCCATAATTGGCACTGTAGCCTGCGCTGTGGGACACAAGGGCCATTATGGTGCAGCCAAACAGTAGCTGGAACATTCGGGCTATTCCTAAAGGGGACAGCACAGCTTCTTTGTTGAGGTAATGTCCTCCTTGAGAATCCATGGTGCCTGTTGTCCCTCTAAAGCAGCTGTTGTTGCTGGTGAGATTCTTAATGTCCCGTTGCCCGTGTTGGTGTCCTTGCGGCCTCCTCTGTCTTTTTCGCGCAGACCTCACCCTTTTTTTGGTTTCCTGTTATAGATGGTCCTTAATTACAAATGTCTGTAATTTCTTTCCTGACCTTGCTTTGTAATTACAGCAGTGTGTTTAAGCTCAGGTTACATGCGTACATTGTTATGTAGAAGTTTGTTCAATAGCTTAAAATGAGAAAAGACTTTCAGTCAACTTTGATAATAAGCTATCTTTTTGATAGGTTTCTTTCTTCTTGGTTGCACAAGTTTGTAAAAAGAGTCTAATTTCTGTGCAGAATAATAACAGTTGATTTCTAATGATTTCAAAATGTGTTTCATGTAATAATAATATGATCGAGTCTTACTCAAAAGCTGCAGTGAAATCTTGGTTTTCTCTTGCTTGCCTTGCTTGCTGGCTTCTTCCCTCACTACTTTTTCCAGTTTAGCAAAATATCAAAGTGAAGTAACGTCTTCTCCAATCAGCCCTCTTTGAAAATTGATATCCAAAGATCAATCTTCCAGCAAAATCCCTCAGTGCCAAACAGGTGGACAAATTTGTTGTCCTGTCAGTCAACTTCAACTCCTCATGGACTCAGTCCTTATAAATTCTTCTCTTTTCTCTTTTTCTTCCCTAAACTGTCCACCAGAATCACTCAAACTGTCGGCTATGTCTCTTGCTCTTTGTCTCGCTGCTTTCTGTCTTCTCTTGCCTCTCAGACTTGATCTCCCACTCTTTCTTATTCACGCAAGCACACCCTGCTCCTCCTGTCTCTGTCAGTGTGCACTCGGTGGATTGCTAGGGGTGGTTGTTTAAATGAAAGTTTGTGCCGAGCCCAGAGTTACAGGCCTTGCCAGCGCTATAAATAGGGGGTCTATATTCCACAGAGGGGTGGGAGGCTGCATGTGGCAGGCAGTTTGGGAGTCTTATTTCTAGGGAGCACCCAGAGTGGCTGAGTCAGAGCTCCCACAGTCAGAAACTGGCATTTACACACTGTGTAATGACAGGGAGGAGGGCTAAGACTCCCATTAGAGGCATAAATTACACACAGGTTCAGAGGGATGATTATACACAAGCGATGGCAGATTTGACCTATGCATATGAAAGGGAGGTAGAAATGAAGTGGCAATTACTTAAAATATTTTAACCTTCTTATATAAGTATCCTCGTTTTTTAAAATTTAAACATTGCAAGGATATTCTTACATAAAATCACTATTAAAACAATTTTAGAAATGTACATGCATGTATATGCATTTCTTTAATTAGAATATTGCAAAAAACAAAAGCAAACTTAAATATTCATAACTGCTTACTGCATACATAACTGCAAACTACTTATAAGTTATTTTCAGTTTCAAGTTCAAAGCAGCATTTTTTCAGCTCTGGAGGAAGTTACTCAAAATTGCCTTAAACACTGCATTTTAAAAATGAATATGTCATTTGGTGTGGAATTTTAAAGAGGCTTTATCTTCTTTGTTTTGCAGTTTGCAGCACTTGCACTGTTAGGGAATGAGCTGTTATACAGGTAATATAGAGAACAGTACTATCTATCCATTTTATCTGCTTATCTAATTCAGGGTGACAGGGGGTCGGGCCTGTTTGCGCTATCATAAGGCAAGAGGGTTACCAATCAATCACAGGGAACAGTAATACTTCTTAGCCCAAAACAAAAAAAACAAACCCATCTCTGGGTTATCAGCACACATTTCAAATTAAAGTTCTTTACTGGCAGCAATTAATACGGTAAAACTACCAAATTTTTAGCAGTAATGTAAAACAGTAAAACAAAAAGCATCATTATTATGCTTTTTTATCAATAAACTTTCTAAAGTACAGTATTATACTGGTATTTTGCAATAGTGTATATTAATTCCTGTACAATAATGATCATTTTTACCTATCTACTTTAAAACCTACATGTGTTACTGTGTTTGTGAATATATTATTTAACGTATTATTTAATTGTCAAATTTTTCTTCCATTTAGGATGTGAGTTATACAAAGTTTTCTGTTGGTCTTCATTCTGAAAGATCAAAGCGGTACGCCTTTCTAAGTTTGCTAGCTTTAATTACTTCCAGTAGGGTGTGAATTTATTTTTCTCAAAATAAGTTTTTTGTCTGTGATGGACGTGCCATGGGAGGACAAGGTGGAGTTATTCTGAGCAAGGTTTTTATGCTTAAATAATTTGGAGAGAACATTTAGATGCTGATAAGCATGTGTAAAGATAGCTGTGGCTCAGGAGCAAAAGTGAATTAGTGGTTTGATGCCCAGGTTGTCCTGCCCATGAACTGCTGAACTGTAAGTAAGGCTCCAGACTACTCCTGATGTTTAGGCCCTTGCGTGGTAGATAACATCACACTGTGAGTGTATGTGTGAACAAAAGCTAAATTGTGATGTGTGCAGTGCAGGTAGCATAAACACACTGCACTAGGCTCAAATACACAGCAAGATAAGAGCCACATGGTGCAGAGTTTATTATGCAAGGCGGCTTAGTTTTGCATCATTTGCACACCTTTGATTCAGTTAGCTTGTAGTACCTTTTGGTCTGCAGAACTTATAATGACATTTTCTTGTTTATCCACCAGATCACTTCACTCACTCTGAAATATTTCTCTTGTTTTAGGTGATAACCACATTTCTTGAAGGTGATCAGTCACTGACTTTAAGTATAGTTTAGTATAGTAATGCCACATCTTCTACACATTAATAATACCATTTTAGTAGACCTTATAGAAGTAATAATCACAAGACTGCAAAAAATATTTATCTTGTAGTATATTATGTTATGTGTCTTTTCTTCTGGTCTGATACAAAGACATGCAGTCAACACAAAGAGAAAAACAGCAATGTATTTACAATTTACAAAGAATCACTTCTCTGTGAAAATAGCACTTATAAATATGATTTACATAACAAAATAAATATGTAAATTACCAATGTAGCTTGAGTTTTTTTTTCCTGTTAAAAAATATGTTACAGAATAAAATTACAATTAGTAATACTTTTCCTTTTCTGGTGTGATGCGAAATAGAGGCCCTTTAAAAACATCATTTATAAAGACATCATTACATACAACATTGTCATTATATTAAAAAGTGATCTCTATGAGATAATAATAAGAAGGGAGTTACAATAGTGAACACTTGATAGAGCCTATACATATACTCAAAAAATACAATACACAATATTCGTCTCCCTTTAAATGTTCATTGCATTGATTTGAGGATTGCTGATCTACTGAGGTGACCTAACATGAGTTTTTGAACTGTCTTGTCATGATGATGCGGCCTGTGCGTAAGAGGCATAGCTTAGATGTGATGGCACTGTGGTTTTTGTATAACTATGTATAGACATTAAACCAGATCCACTTTAGCACCACAGTTAGCATTGCAAAACAACTAAAGGGGACATTCTGACATCTTAAAAATATACCAATTTGGTTTAGATGCTATCAAGGGAGTTACATCTATAGGAACATTATGTCTTATTGCATTACTTTCATTAGCGGTAATAACACATGGTTTGTGCCTGTTTAGTTCAAACAGGGTAATTCTAACTGACAGTCTTTTGCTATGAGTTTATTAGAGCGTCAGTGTCAGTTGTCTTTCTCTGGCTATTGTTTATGCTTTTATTTTTTTTTAGAGGTAAATATAAAATATCTCCTTTCTGATTCAGCACTTAGCGCACTTATGATATTTTCCTATATCTGCCTTGATGTCAGTTATTTTTGCAATGAGAGTTCCAATTACAGAAAAATGCTAGGGCCCAATTGCACTGATAACAGTCTCATATTGGCTACTTAACAAAAACAGCATCCCTATGTCACTGTGGCAATGACTAAATTTAAACTATATGGAAGGACAAACATAAAAACAAAACATCAGTGAGCATCCTTAAAACTGGATTACATTCATGATATTTTCTTTTACAAAACAAAATATAATTTAAATGGTGAGTCGCAAAGAGTTGTGCCTTGTCATTGTGGTATGTTGCCACAGTACTTGTCACCAGATGGGAGAAAAGGGATTGTGGGACAAGGTCAAAGTCCCTGCACTGACTGAGGTTTGGAGTAAAGTAAACAGAGGTCAGAGGAAATTCATTATAGGTAGAATGGGTTGTGAAGATGGAGGGGTAGTTGGAGGTATCAGGCTTGGGAGACTGGCCAGAGAGACCAGCCAGCCAACTCTGCTTAGTTTAACGTTGAGATAATGCCTGTGTGTTTGTGTCCTTTTAGCTGCCACTGCTGAGCATGCCCAGTAGCTTGCTGGGGTCCATTCCCTGCTGCTGGGCCATCTTCTGCACATCAAAGCCCATGTGCATGAGGAACTGAATGACATTCATCTCCTGCCCTGTGAACTGATCTCGGATGGTGGGGCAGGTGGGGTTGCAGTGTGGCCACGGGCAGCTGTCAATCAGATGCACAGGACAGCCTTTAGGCGGAGCCTTGTTGTTCCTGTTGTCGTGGAGGCTGCGGTCCCAGCAGTGCAGCGCTCTGGGCAAGGAGGTGCCTTTAACCTGCACATCAATCCAATAGCTAGAACACAACACAAGAGGGCGCTGTCAGCACACAGGTAGAAAATCGTACAGCGGGGAAGAGGCCTTTTGAAAATGAATAATACTCACTTTCTGGTGATAACTTCATGCGATAAACATGCTGGAGCAAACATAGCCCTAAAGAAAAAACAACAGAAAAAAACAGTAATCAGTAAAAGTCTTTGCAATAATTCTTTGTAAATTTTCCACCTGAAATCCAGATGCATGGCCTTACGGGACATCTTTGAGTGTGTTCCTCAGCTCAGTGCCCAGGTTTTGGATGTAGCGCCACTGGCCCTCCTGCACAGGCTGACCTGTCAGCTGAATGTTGTCTACTGTCAACTGAGCCTCATCAAACAGCCACTGGACCACAAAGACAGGGCCTGCTCAGGGAAAATGAAAAATATCAGCCAGACAATGTGAGTATTCGTAGATCACATCACAATGCACATTTACTTGTATCCACATAGATCATAAACCCACTTTTTATAGACGGGAAGACTCTGTATCCAAAAAAGCAGTTCCACTCTTCTCCTTCATGGGCTTGTTTGCACCGTTCTGGTACCATCCCTCCCCAGTACCTAATAGAAACAGACACAGATAGGATATGATGGGTATAGTAGCAACCTGGTGATCTCAGTTTAACGACTAGACTTAATGCTTTTCTTTTTAATAATGCTGGTAGATAAATGCAGGAGGTGACACTGAAATATTCCTTAGTTCGGCTGCTTGAGGCTCAGACTGCTTGGGCTCGTGCATGATGTGCTTTTTCACTCCCAGTGCCTTTATATGTGACTAATGCATGTCATCATCTCTTTCCTAGAGATTGTGCTTTGTCGCATGTTTTGTTTGTTCTCCCCAGCCAGCCATAGCAGCCAGCCACATCTAGCAGTGCTTGCTATTATTGTCTTATTGTTGGGACTTCTATCTATAATTTCATAGGAATCTGTATCTTGAGATAAATATTGGTATGAAATAAATAAAACTAAACTGAGAGAAATCCCATACTTGATGCCTCTCTTGATGGTCTCAGTGGGGGCACAGCTGGCAGTGTCCACACAGTCAGTGCAGTGGTACTGCTTATTGTCCAGGAACCAGCCAGAATCAGAAAGGCCTCGCACTTGTATTGCAGTGTGGCCCAGTCCCTCCAGCATCTCTGCCACACGGTCAACATTCAGAAGAACGCCAGTACCTCCCGCACTTCATACAAAAACAATATATATTTTCATCAGTACACATACATCAGTAAGAATGACGTGCAGAAGCTTTCAATATAAAACCCTGGGCAATATTTTTACATGTGAACACACCTGCTTCCTGCTAAGAGGAGGACTTTGGCATTTTCCAGACCTTTTTTCAGCAGGTCCTTCACAACCTCCTGAATAATGAGTGAGCCCATGAAGGCATAACCACCTGTGTACAACAGAGAGACAAACGAACTAAACAACTCTTCTTTCAGGGCAAATACATGTCAAGATTTTGAGACTTTAGTGGTGTCTCTTACTTTGATCTGTTTTGGCTGTAACACCGCTCCAAACATCACTGGAGCAGTAGGGCACAAACCTACACAACAAACGTAACATTTAAAATGCCACTTGCAATTAAAAATTGGGCATCAATGAGCACAAAAGGCAACTTACACCATGTTGGCGTTCCACCAGTGAGGGTTTTCCTCAGGGAGTGGAGACAGGATCCCTGTGCCTGCAGAGACAGACCGACGTGTATCATTAGCCATTCTGGCTCCCTGAGACACATCCTCTTCTTACTCATCATCATTACCACGTGGATTACAGTTATTACAGTGCAACAAGAGAGAGAGGCGTCTCTCTTCCTTTAGTGGTGGGCGCCAGGTAGCCCTACACCGCAGCAACATTATGACCGGGTGTCAGTTTCAATAACACTGTAAATGAGCACAGATGCATCCCATCCTTTTAATTGCTGAGGCATTAAAAGCAGGTATGCTTTTCACCTTATGGTCAGGAGCCCCGGGTGGAGCAACAGTGGGGCTGATGGAAAGGCTCACCTGTTTTAGTCTGGGGCCACTTGGAGGAGCTCATTAACCTTCTCATTGTCTCATATCGGCTGTCACAGTTTTCCTTGTTGAAGCAGTACCAGCCACCTGCAGGCAGATATACCAATAAAAAAAATAGGAACAATCATTTCACATGTGATTTTTTTGGTATAACTGGACGTGAAATGAGAAATGTGTTGAGGTGAATCAGTTTAGTCCAAAATACCAACCTTCTAAAAATATCAACCACCGCCTGCTGCCTCGAGATTCTTTTAGGTAGTACCTACAAGAACCAAAGAATGAAGTGAGCACACGATAATAGGCATGGTTGAGTTTAAACAATATGTGTATATGATTCTAAATTCCTCAAGTTTTGCTTTACGCTGCCTGCATGAACGTCTTGGCCCACAGGTTTGAGACTTTCTTATGGAGAAAGAAATAGACACTGAAAGATAATGTGGCCATTGTTTCTACATCAGTGCTTGCACCCAAGCGTAAAATACACACATCGCATCATCAGTAATACAAACAAGGATGCCACGAACTTAATGCTAATCTCAAAAAGGTGCCACGGATGAAAGCAATGATGCTGTGTGTACACGCTGCACTTCAAACACTGATACAGTGATCGAAAAGGAGATAAACATCATCCTCTACCATATCCTGGTTCCACTGTAGATTCCAGTAGATGGCATTTTTCCATAATAAGCAACATACCATCATCTCTTCACTCTGAACACAATGTCATAAAATGTGGATAAAACCAAGGCTGCCATTCAAAGTAATGGCATGATAGGAAGTAAAACTCTTTTGCTCAGGTGCAGTAGGTGCCAACAAACCCGCATAAGCCCAATTTAACGCCCTTAGAATGCACTTAGACACATGACTCTGAGCTATAGCTGCTCTAAGATTGTAGGAAACCTATCTTGGAATATTGGAGATATGTGCTGTCTGTGGTCAGTCCAGAAGAGGGCAATGCACCCATGGTTTAGGGTGCAGTCCTAACCAAATCATCCTCATCTTTTATTCAACAAAAACACAGAAACACAAGGAAAATTAAATATTTTGGGTGTGTAAAGTAGCTTTCGCTGCAGAAACAAGAGGCTTCTGAATGTGCTTCTGTGATGTTGATGCCTTTCCCCCCCATTTCACTGAATATCTGCTTTATTTTACCAGTGACTCAACTCAGAAGATTGGCAAACACATTTCAGTGACTTTAAGGCAAACAGACTTGGCTGAAGCTCTGAGCTGCTAACTCAGACACTGAATCACACTTTGGCTGCGCTTAATGTTTTAACTATTATTATTCAGTGATGTAGGCAGCTCACTCTTATTTCCATCAAACATACTGAAGCCAGAATTGACAAGCTGAACAAACAAAGGGGAGGTGTTGTGTCAATCCACCTATTTAAGCAAGTTTCCAACAGATGAAAAACCCACTCACTTCCTAGTAACTTGCTCTAGTAACTTTTTTCCCTTTTACATTACATACTTATGAATATCCGTGTAGCTATAACAATTGATGGATTAGCGTCCCAGCTGATAACAGCCACAGTGAATGAAAGGCCTTGTGCCTGTAACTGTTCCCTGCGTGCGCTCGTCCCCACGCTTTAGTGTAATGCACAGCTCACTCTGCTCAGTCACATATATCAACAAATCAGAACGACAACCAAAGTATTCACGACGACACAACATGCTTTACAGCAGTGAATAATGAGTACGCGTGTAGTTGTGTGTAACGTTTCAGCATTCTCCTGTGATGCAGCATAATGCGCGGACAGACATGACACATTAAACCGTCTACAGCTATACACCGATCTGTGTCGCTGACCTTTAACCTACAATTTGTCTTCTTGTAACTACACTGAAAAAAGAGTCCGAATGCCTTTTCTATTTTAGAGAAGGAGGGACTATATTTGGCGTTTGCTGTTTTAGCAGCACGATTTATTCCTCTTTAGTGGAGTTTGGGGGGG